TGACGGTGGCTTTAACTTGCCACGTTGAAGCTTCATGCACCGAGGACTGTGACACCTCGGTGGATTCACCGCTCACTTCGTCGACGTGAACCAACCGCGGGCCGAGGCGGAGAGGCAGGACGAACAGCGCAGGGAGTTCCAAGTGGCTGTATACTCGTGACGGGCGAAGTGTCAGCGGCTACGAACTGGATCGTGTCCGGTGAGTGTAGGACTCGTGGGGGGTCTCTACTGGATACCAAGGACAAAGGCAGCCGTGATATCTAGCTAACATACTGTTTAATTCATTCACTTTTGCATATGGAAGTCAAGGTCGCAGGCGCGACAAACAACACTTCCAGATCCTCTGTAAGCAACACATTCGATCAAGATGCTATTTTCTGAAATGCGGGAAAAAAGAACGAAGGTGAATGATTTCCTGGCTGAAGCTTAAATGATGGCTGGTCGCGATCATCCTCGCATCGTGCGCTTTGTATGCGTGGCTTGGGGCTCCCTTGACGATCTTTGTGTGGTATCGGAGCTTATGATTTGAGGAGACCCCCGAGAACTACTAAGAGAATTCTAAGCGAGTAGCCACTCTCAAGCCATCGATGAAGATTAAATTGGTATCGCTTCTCGTTTCGCCTAAGCGTTGACGTACTTGCATTCACTCTCTTCGGTTGTGAATCACCGTGACCTCAAGTTCAAGAACTCACCGAAACTGCAAATGGAAAAAGGTTAGCCGCTCACTTGACATCCTCGTCTCTGACAAGTAAATTTCTCATGGCGCTGGATGCACCACACCAAACCGGGGGGAAAGTGTTGACGGTGGCTTTAACTTGCCACGTTGAAGCTTCATGCACCGAGGACTGTGACACCTCGGTGGATTCACCGCTCACTTCGTCGACGTGAACCAACCGCGGGCCGAGGCGGAGAGGCAGGACGAACAGCGCAGGGAGTTCCAAGTGGCTGTATACTCGTGACGGGGGAAGTGTCAGCGGCTACGAACTGGATCGTGTCCGGTGAGTGTAGGACTCGTGGGGGGGCTCCTACTGGATCCCAAGGAAAAGGGAGCCGTGATATCTAGCTAACATACTGTTTAATTCATTCACTTTTGGCTATGGGAAGTCAGGGTCGCAGGCG